GTTGAGTACTTCTACAAGCTGACCAAAGCCACTTTCCCATCCTAGTGCCTATGACTCATCTCACAAACTCACCGGCAACTCGAATCCCAAATGGTACATGTACTCTGTCTGTAAAACAGTTTGCTTGGTTTATTTGGTTTTGGTTTTGTACAAATTATGAAAATATATATTGCTTCCTTTAGACAGTTTTGTGAAATTCAGATACATACTTTCTTCATTCCTTAGGACACATGTGCTGGCTCTCATGAGCATTTCTTATGGTCTACATTTAACCACGTATTATGTCTTCCTATTTTGAAGTTATCACTGTTCATATACAGCATCATCTGATGCTCACCAACCTTAAAGAATAGTTCCTTCCTAATATAAGCACAGAAAATAAATAATTTTCTTTTACGTGTAATCACTGTTTATATATCAAGAGATCATAGGTATCGAAAACTTCTTTTTGAATACATATTTGTATTTGCTTCTATATAAATATATAAAATATATATCTGGAAGAAAAAACTATTAATAGTGGTTGCCTATAGGGAAGGAGGATTTTTTTTTCCCTGTATACTCTTTCACATGCTTTGATTCTTTCAAAAAAAAATATGATTGTATAACCCATGTAAAAAATTACATTTAAAAATTAGGAATAGTATGAACTTAAAGTAAAACAACCCTTACAATACAGTGAGAATGAGATAGGATCCTATGATTTTAAGGCATTCTCAAAAAGCCACCTTTCTCAAAAATATTTTCCCCACTAGCCAACAGGACTTAAACCCCCTAGTTAAAATGCAAACAAATATTCTGAAGGTAGTAAGTGTATTTTGCCATTATCCATGATCAAATTACTGAAGCTTAGTTTATCACATTAGCATAATAAAAGAAAGTCACAAAGAGGCTGTATATAGGCCCCCTAATTCCTGTTTCTTTTGTTTTTCCTTCAAGTAACTAAATTAAGTTTGTTTTACTCAAAGAACCTTTGTATTAGTAAAAGACCTCATTTAGGAATTCTAGAAGTCTTGCCCAAGCCAACTGGCGCCATGGATTGCCAGTGTGAATGTTTTTACTGTCTCTATAAACATCTGCCCTCCCATCCAGTCCTCTCTATCAACCCAATGTACTCAGTCTGAGGGGGCTTGGACAGGGGGTATTGTGTTCACCTCTGAATCCTCCCCAACACTAAAAACAGCGCCAAGCACTTCCAGAAAGCAATTATCCAAGCTCTTAGTGACACCTATTGCAAGGCTGTGACCCTTCTCTAGGAAACTGCGGTTGAAACTTCAACTCTAAAAACGTCAGTTGGAGACTTAAATGTGTTCTCACCTCAAACAATAATCCATTCATTCTGGCAAAAAACCATCTACTGAGCACCTACTGTGTGCCTGGCACCGGTGCTCAGCAACTAAGGAGGCAAAAAATTATCTAAGGAGATCAGAATAGCAGATTTGTAGCAGACATTCAGTCAATGCTTATGAGATTTGATGAACTTCTGGAACTTTTCTATCTGCTTAAACTTTGAAAAGTCTTTCACTAATGTTTTCTTCACGTGGCAGTGGACTTTAGTTTCCCATAAACTACCAAGCACCTGACTTTTGTGGACTGTCTTGTTTCAGCCCCCCAAGCCTCATGAATGAATTACTTCTTTACTTTTGAACTTATGGGACGTAAATCAAGCAGTATCCAATAAACTACAGTGTAAAAGAAAAGAGAAAATCCATAGCCTATAAGATAATTGACAGTTAAAGAAGCTCTTCCCTCTCACCTTCCTATCATTAAAATGTCAGAAAAAATTTTCCTTTTTTCCATTATAAGAAGATGAACTCTGTAGTACTGACCCAGTAATGAAATTAAGTTTTCTAAACTATTGATTCCCTTTTGCCATATTTCTCTTGCTGTGTTGCCTTGCTTGGATCGCGTGCTACAGTCGAGTGACTGCAGCTAGAGAATCTGAGGCGCTCGGTCCAGGTGAGTTAACTGGCTTAGCACAAGACCCAAATCACCAACTATGCCAGCCTACTCAGCAAAGCTGGACTAACAAGGGTTACACCAGGAGCAGGCCAGGCCTAGAACATCACAGCTCCAGTTCTGCTGGCCTGCAACAAAGTCGGAGTTTTTCTAAAGTGGGACTCAGCTATCAACTGTCAAGACTTGAGCGTCAACCTTCCTGACCTTACACAAAAGCTTCCTTAGTACCTGAAAATACCACTGGATATTATTTCTACTTGAGATGAAAATTATTTTTACTACTTTAATCAAGAGTGATCCCACCCAAGCAAAATGAAAATCCTTGTGCGTAGGAAATACCCAATAGATGCTAGAATAATTAGTATTCTAACTGGAGGTGGAAAGCACTAAGTTAGTGACCACAAATGGACATAATCTTCTTCGTTATCTTCAGCAGACACTTCTCGAGCTCCTACAAGGTGCAGGGGATAACAGAAGGCGTCAATCATGGGTCCTAACCACATGGAGTCTGTAGCTGCTAAGTGCACTGTGAAGCATGTAGAAGCATTTGAACACTCCGAGACATAAAAACACCTTTTCCCTCTTAGTTTAGGCTTCTCTAGTTGCCTACTTTTAACAACGTATGCGTTTTCCTTCTAGAGAGTAAATCCAAAAAGAAAAAAAGAGGAAGGAAGGAAGGATGGACAGATAGAAGGATAAGTCGCAGTGTCTATCTGATACGTCTAGCTAACACTAGAAGAATCCAAAATGTAGAAGAATGAGGATTCTTTTCTTCATGCTGAATCAAAATTTCTGTGGTGCAGTAGTCACTGTATCTTAAAAGGCACCATTTGGCTCACTACTAAACAGCCTCCCCTCCACATATGTTAGATGACCCTTGTGGTCCAACTCCTACCCTACCCCCACGGAACTGACAGGTATTTTATACTATACCACATGCTTATGCTTCCATTCATAAAGAAGAAAACTTTAAAAAAAAAAAACCTTTAACACAAATACATTGGAAATACAGCACAACTAAAGGCATCAGTACTGTAAAAAATATATAGAGAGAATTTTATGCAAATAACACACATCTCAATTCTAAGTAACATCTAACTTAGAAAGTAAGGTTCCTAACTTGTTTTCTTATTTAAGGCTATTATAAGAATCCAAGTTCAAGAAGAACGACCAATAGTCTACTTTCCTTAGACTGTACTTCAACTCTTCTATTACCTGAAATCTTCAGGTAACATATACGAGAAATTACGTAAGCTGCTTCACGTTCTGTCACCTTCAAAGTACTATTTCCTCTAATTCCTCTACTCAACCACCTTTCTGAATGATAATTCAAGTTTTACCTGCCCAGGAGTGCAAGTGAGCTTGGCGGTTTGGGGAACGTTTTCCAGGGAACAGAATGGTAACCCACAACATGAAACTTCCAGGCTTCCAACGTGGACTGCAATACTATGGCTTTGACCGTGACCTCACCATCTAAACTTCCTCTCCCCACTTACCAGGCACTCTCAGTCACTTAACTCTCAGTCATTTTTTTGTTTCATAGGCATTTATTACTGTGCAAAAGTATCTCACTTATTGTCTGATCCCCCAGAAGAATACAATCCCCAGAGAGCAGGACTTTTGTGCGTCTTGTTGATTCAACCCCCGCTTCCAGAATAGTACCTGGCTTACTCAAAATACCGGATAAATCGCACGGACTGAACTATAACTTCTTACGATACTCTAAAGAACTGGAACGTTTTTTACAGACCAATAAACCAACTAGTAAAATCTTGGGGTCCTCATTTTTCATTATGGTAGGAAAAAAGCAAGAGGAAAAGTACACCTGCTCACCAACTCTTGCTAAATTAGACATGAAAAAAGACAATTAAGTGGAGGTTTTTAAGAGAAATAAACATTACTAATTTTTGAGACTACTTATGAAAACAGAAGTTCCTGTTGCTGAATATACTGAACTGCAGACCAACGTGCCTGAGTGGGGATGCCTGACTCGTTAACTTACACTCTTCAGCCATTATCTCAGCACTGCATTCCGAATAGACAGACCCAGGAAACGGTGATTTTGGTGAAGAGAGTAATGATCTTTACAAAGGAGTAGCAGGTCACATCATAAGCAAACACAAAATCCAGGGCGTAATGGCCTCTCTAACAAATATTCTCATTAAGTTAAGCCACTGCCATTTGCCTTCCTACAAAGTGCTTGGGCAATTTCAGTTTAAGGATGGTATCATTCAGTCAAGCAGTGAGTGTCAAGCTACGATAGAATCAAGTTTCATCTAAAGGGTTACGAGACGGAAGCTGGGAGGTAGAGAAAGTAGTAGTTTGGCAGTAAGGAAGAGAAGAGCCCATTTGGAATATTTCCAGTATTCCCTAACCTCCGCCCGACTGTCCCATATCTCACTGGGGATAGCTTTCCTTTTGTTGCAAACTACAGGAGAGCGACTTTTGGCATCCCCTTTCCAAATTACACAAACTAGCCGGGACTGCATTACTTAACATGGTGGAATTCAGGATGGCGTGGTAAAAAGTGTACACAGGCTTGGGTATTGGAGAGGGGTGGGGTGACCTAAGCCAACTTAGCCTCCGCGAGTTAAGTTTCCTCATCTGTAAATGGTCACAAAGTTACCTCCCACGGAGAACGGCGAAAAGAACCAAATACAAGGACCAGTATAGGGTGCAGCGCCTGCGTATCGGGAATGCTGGGTTCTCCTTCCTTCCACTCACCAGCTGCAGAGCAACATCGAAGCTGTGGCACGAGTATTCAACTATCAAGGTTGTGACCGAGAACGGTGGAGGAGCAGCTACAGAGCTCTTAAGGAGCATCTCGGCCGGCCCCACGAGCCCGCCGCCCACGGGAGGCCGACGGAGCGCTCGCATCCACCAGCCGGGCCGCCCAACCCCAACCCGTGTCTCTCGGGCTTCCAGCTTCGAGGCGGGGAGCGGGGCCGGGGAGGACCGGCCACGCGGCGACCCCCGGGACTCGGGAGCGGGCGCCGGCCCCGGAAGCGGGAGGGCCGCGGGGGCGCGAGGCGGCAGGGAGACCGGTACTTACCGCCGGCCCGCGGCGGGCGGCCATCCGTCTCCAGACGGCGGCGAAGTCGGGCGGCGGGGCTCGCGGGCTCCGGCAGACGAGGGAGCACAGGGTCCCCAGCAGGAAGGCGGCGGCGGCGCAGCCCAGGTACAGGCTGAGCCTGAGCAGGACGGTGCACAGCCCCGCGCCTCCCGCCGCCGGCCAGCAGCCGGGCCCCAGGCAGGAGAGGGACACGGCGGCGAGTGCGGCCACGGCCACGGCCACCCGCCAGCTCCCGCCGCCGGGGCCCCCCGGGGCGGCCGCGTCCTCCCGGGACTCCGGCCGCTCGCCCGGGGCAGGGCTGAGGCCGGCGCCGCTGCTGTGGGTGGCATCGGGGTGCATGCTGCTTCCTGTGCCGCTAAGGACAGGCACATCTCCTGCCCTGCTGTGCCCCTGCGCTGCCCTGGACGGTGGCCCCCGCGCGGCGCCTCCTGCCCTCGCCGCTCCCGCCGCCGCTCCGGAGGCAGAGGCAGTCCGCGCTCATGCCCTCGCCGGCGGCCCCCCGGGGGAACGGCTCCAACAGACGCCGCCGGGCTCCTCTCGGCGACCCCTCCGCGCCGCCACCCGGCGCCCGGCCCGCAGCTGCCCGCCGGGCGCGCCCAGGTAGCCGGCCCGTGTTGTGACTTCAGCCGGCGAAGCCCGAGGCGGAGCGGCAGCGGGGGCGGCCCCGGAGCGCGCGTCAGCCGGGGGGCGGAGAGCCTGCGCGGCCCGCTGAGTGACAGCCGGGGCCGCCCCGCCTCGCCCTGCCCGGCCGCCCCCCGCGGCGGGGGGCGGGGTCCGCCCCGCTGCTGCCCCGCGGGGAGGGGGCACGACCAATCCCGGCGGACACTGCTCCGTCCTGCGCTCCCCCGCCCCGCCCCCAGGGTACCGTCTGTCGATGGAAAATTTTGCTGCAGGTGTCAGGAGCATTGGTAATTCTCGAGCTCAGGTGATCCCTTAATCCTCGCTCCGTACTGACGAGCAACCTCCTCGCGTGCTTACAGCCCCCCAGATTTCTGCCTCGTTTTCACTTGCTACTTAGATTAAATAGGCAACCATTTCAGATCCTCACTTTAACACAGTTCCCCTAACAACCTTCCTTCTCCCACCCAGCCCCCTCAGGGAAGGAGTCAGACAAAAGTGGAGGAGTAAATGAAGCTTGCAATCTCTAGTCTGGAGAGACCCGGAGAAGTCCGCCTGGTGCCAGAGGGTATACACAGCTGCCATCATCACTTTGGCTCCAAGTCCCGGTATTTTCGTTGCCAACAATTCAGTACAAATGCTATTACTCATGCGAGTGAAAGTGGTCCTGATAATTTTTAGAAGACGTATTTTCCTCTTCTGTCATGGTTCCAGCATTAATATACAGATAATGCTTGCTGAGAAGATGCCAATGTGCTAGATGAATACTAGTAATTACTGCTAGGACCAATAAAGCAGCAGATGTATCTTTAATGGATAAATAAAGGAATTCTAAAGAGATTAATGATTATTTAAAAGGGGGGTGATGAGTAGAGAGAGCAAATCAAGAATAGGGGAAAAAAGGGAAGGAGAAGTAAATAGATGAGAGAAGCAGTAACAAATAAAGATAAGAATACGGGAAAAATTTAAAAGCAAAAGCCCAGGACCCTCTCCATGCAGCAATCATGAAGAATTTCAACAGTTTAAAACGCTATTGTTTTCTGATAAATTGAGTCATATCTTGCTTCGAAGGAAGCACAGTTAAGAAAAATAAGCATTAAAATATATTTTCAAATACTATGACTATACTGTTTTTCTATAAAGAATCATCTGTGTCATTTCAACAAGGAAAAAAATTCAACATTCATACAATATAAACTAAAATATTTAGTAGATATGTATTCTTTTAAAACACAGTATTATCCAAGAGGTTATTATTCAAAAGAAGAAATGCTGGTGTCCATAGAAAGACACGGCCCACCTGTGTATTCCTGTCTTCATAATAAATTTCCCTGGAATGGCATGGATTTCAAGTAGGAGATGAAGTAAGAGGTCTAAAAAAAATTATCCCTAACATTTAGCTCTAACAAAACAGCATAGAAATGAATTATTTTATGTATCTGTATAAAAATAAATGTATTCACATTTGTCATTTTAAAAAGTTGTTTTTCATATTAATTAGTATTCATGGGACACATTATTCTCACATGTTTGTGAGTCAAAGAGAAGGAGATAATGTGTGCCTTATGCCAGATGTGACTCTGCCATGCCTAGGTGATGACCTCAAAGGAAGTTACTGTCTTCCTGTTCTTGCCTTCTTTTTTTTTTTTTTTTTAATAAAAATAGTTAATTATCATCCCACGGGGCTCCTCAAAGTGTACCCTACAAATCCAAATTATTTCAAGTAAAGCATGGTGGCTTGTTCTTCCCAACCATCACAACTATATCTTTTGATCATTTACAGGCCAGGGACTCTGTGCTGAGGGCTTTATATCCATTTTCAGATTTGAACCCATAGCTGACAATAATGGTAACTAATTGAGCACTGACTGTGTACCAGATACTGTTCTAAGCAGTAGAGATGCTTCATTTAATCTTCACAACAACCCTGATAATGTTATCTCCATCCACACAAGAGGAAACAAGCACAGAAGGTAAAATAACTTGCTCAACGTATCAAAGCTGATAAACATATTTGATATTTATCAAAGCTGATAAATATCAGAGCTAGGATTTGGTTATCACCCCATGTGGTCTGGCTTTAGAGCTTGTGCATTTAACCACTATGCCATCGTGCTTCCTAAAAATTCTGTCATTTAGTCATCCCATATTACAGAGGAGAAAAAACAGGATTTAAATTCATGAACTTAAAAATGTTTAGTTTTGTTGCTTTGTACGTATAGCTGGTATCTCAGCCAGCCCCAACAAGTGCTAAGTGATCTTAACATGAATCAGTGAAAGCGGAAACTGATCTGACTTTTATTGAGAGCCCTGATCTATAACTCATAAGACCATGATCTTTCCAACACATCTGTATATTGTCCCCAAGAATAATGCAGATCTGGAGAAATGTACATTTGTGATCAGAAAACTTCCTTAAAGCATATGCCATATGGCTGCTAAGTCAGCATGGACACTTCGTGCATTTACTTAACAAGTAGTAGTTGGGACTCTATCCTGTGCAAAGTTTGAGGAACACTGAGAGGTGAGGTAAGGTGAGGAGGTCCAAGGGAGAGACTGGGATCAGGAGGTGCTGAGGGAGGAGAGGCTCTAAGTCAGGTGTAAAATTAGGATGCAGGTGTTCCATCCCGCAAGTCAGTGTTGAGTCCTACCAGACCTAAGCATTAAAGGGCAAGCTAAGTAGGGATGCCTTATTTGTATTCCTTATAGTCAGTACATCCCGGCAGGTTATAATTGAATGCTATCTTAGTTATTCTCTTATGTAAGATGGGAATGACATCTGCCTTAACTCACAGAGATAAGAATAAATTAAGAGACAAAAATTGACATTTAAAATATTAGTGTAAATTGGTAGGCAATACCTGATCCCTGTCAAAATATGTAACGCATCTTCCTCTTCACGATTAAGCATATTTCACCTTAACCCCCCGTCCCATCTTGGAGGTAGTCACAGGATTAGAGAGAAATACACAGTGTTTGCCCTTGACTACTTTGGGGAAAATTGTGAGTAAAGATGTTAACACGCATCAAAAGACCTAGATACCCTTCTAGTTTTTTCTACTGATTCACTGTAAGACCCTAACAGATCAGTTAACCACTCTATCTCTCTTTCTTGTAAACTTTCAAACAGAGCGTGGTTTACAGAAAATACAGATATAGACATAAGTGTGGTCAAACTTCGAAAAGTAAGAAATGATAAAATACCTTAAAAACAAATAGTAGAATGCTAAAGCCGCATTTCTAAGAAGAAGATGAATCTCTGAACAAAATTTTAGAACGTATATATATAAATTATGCTGGGTGGGGTTCCATATTCGTAAGTAAAAATACTCAGATTGGGAAAATTTCAGGCAGAAATGTCTTCGTATTAATCTTCGAAGAGAAAAGGAATTACAAAGGAAAGTACTGTAAATTAAATTAGCGAGTGACAAGATAAAGAATTAACAAAGGTAGAACCCAAAAAAGGGATAATTTTAATTTATCTAAGTTTTGACCTGAAATTCAGGGAAACGTGGTGTGTCAATTGTCTATTGTTGCATAACATACTACCACCAAAAAACCATTTTATTTGCTTATGATTTTATGGGTCAGCAGTTCGGGCTGGGGTCAGCTGGGCGGTTCTGCTCGTCTTGCCTGGGGTCACTAATAAAGCTGTGGTCTCCTGGGGTATAGGCTGGAGCCACTTGGTCTATGGAGCCTCTGCTGAGATGGGTCATCCCTGCTCCCTGTGTTCTTATCCTCCAAGAAGGGAGCCTGGGCTTCTTCACAGGACAATCTCAGGGATGCAATGTACAAGCTTTGTTCATCTTACATTTGCTAATTTCCCATTGGCCAAAGCATATCTTATGGCCCGACCAGGAGTTAAATAAGGGACGGGCCTACACACGGGCTTAAACATAGGGAGGCATAATTCGTTAGTGCTGTTACTTTAACAACCTACCCAATTTACTTTGTTAGAATACACTAATCAGTTTCTGGTAGATCTTCTGGCTGCTCACCAAAATCAGTAGCATCTAGTGACTTGTCACTCAAAATATGTTAAAGTTCACTTTTCTTGTTCCTGGAATTGATAATTATTCATAAGCTACTCCCATCTGCCTATGAGATAGAGAAAAGAGCCTGCGTAAGGATGGAGCAAGGGAGGCAATGTACAACCATTTGCCAGCTGAGGGTTTGGTAATATAGCCATATCATTTAGCTTTATTTTACTGCAATATTGTCAAGTTATGAAACATAAAGCAAAAAAAAAAAAACATTCTAAGCTAGCTCACTTAGATTTTGATATCCCGTATTATTGTCCAGCAGATTATAAAGAAAGAAAATAAAGTGTTTGTACTTACCTAATTCCTCCAAAACACACGTGGGCTGAAAAACTTTTGTTTTGTTTTGTTTTTTTTGAGGAAGATCAGCCCTGAGCTAACATCTGCCAATCCTCCTCTTTTCGCTGAGGAAGACTAGCCCTGAGCTAACATCCGTGCCCATCTTCCTCTACTTTTTTATATGTGGGACGCCTGCCACAGCATGGCTTGATGAACGGTGCCATGTCTGCACCGAGGATCTGAACCGGCGCACCCCAGGCTGCCAAAGTGGAACGTGCATGCTTAACTGCTGCACCACCAGGCCGGCCCTGAAAAACTTTTTGAACTGATGTATATGCTGTTTCATGATATTTGTCACAAGCAGAGTAAAATATAAAATAGGCAGTGCACAATTATTGATTACTCACATAAATTAGGAAAGGATTTTGAATATTTTAGGATTAACACTATGTGTTTAATATTATAGAAAGCTTTTATATGCTACTTAAAAGAAGTCAATGTCTCTGTCATTTATCCACTATAGGAAAGACAACATACTTCTGGAAAGTAAAAATTAATATTAGAGAATTAATCAGAGTCCAGAACAGGTGTTGGCACAGAGTAGACCCTTAACAAATATATTTGAATGAATAAGTCTGATATTCTTCTATACTAATATATCTAGAATAATTGGGTAGACAAAAAAGCTAATAAAAATAGTACTTCATATTTGAATGGAAACTTTAATTTTTGGAAGACCTTTTTAAAACACATGTTCCTCACTACAACTCTATAAAGGCAAAAAGATAATTATTATAATCCCATTTTGTGGACGAGGAAATAGGCTCAGGGAAGTTAAATGACTGACCCGAAATCACACAGTCAGTTGATAGTGGGACCTAAATTATAGTATTCTCCTTCATTTGCTATCCTTCAAATACAATAGTTAAAGGTAATGTAATGTCAAAGGACAAAACAAACTGCTTTTTACATTATACAAATAATGTCCTTACAAAACCAACACAATAACAATTGCATTCGCCTGACTTTTAAATAGAGCATAAACTTCTGGAAGGTAGTTTGTGACTTCTATTCATTCTTTCATTCAGTCCAAAAACGTTAGCCAGGTGCTTTGTTAGAAAATAGTATACAGGCTAGCCCCATGGAGCAGTGGTTGAGTTCCGCCTGCTCTGCTCTGGTGGCCCAGGTTCACAGGTTCAGATCCAGGAACGACTTACACCACTCATTGGCAGCCATGCTGTAGCTGCGACCCACATAGAAAATAGAGGCAAATTGGCACAGATGTTAGCTCAGGGCAAATCTTCCTCAAGCAAAAAAAGGGGAAGATAATCTTCCTCAGCAAAAATAAATAAATAAATAAACAAAAAGTATAAAAAAATATGGTCTCTGTCCTTGAAGAGCCCACATTCTAATTGGGGTGGGGGAGTAAGAAGACGGTGGAAAAGCATAAAGCAATGTAATACACAGTATAATAAAGGTATTACAAAGTTCTATGGTGACAAGAAGAGACCTACTAATTCT